AGAGCTTGCCTTAGCTTCATCATAATTGCCTTTTCTCTGTAACAACCTCTAAATGGATGGTCAGTTTTTAGAGATATACCATTTTTCATCATCCATCTAAAAGGGTTGGAATGGTTATACAAATAACCATGCCATGGAGCAATATGAGGTGGAAGCTCAAAGTTGTGTTAATGCTGTTGATCAACACAACTTATCTTTAATTCATACTCGAGGGCAGTTGTTGCTGTGAAGGATCAACAAGTGACTGCAACAATGAAAAAAACATAAAGAAACAGTAAATACATTGTTAATTAATGTAATGTAATGTATCTACTACTTGTTCAATTTACACAAATTATGCATTTTTCTTCGATTCTTGACGGTCGGTTTGACAACTTCTATTCAAACCTTTATACAAGGTACTTCTAAAGAACTTGGCCATTTCTTGTCATAACAGAAATTTTAATTTTAACATATAAAACAGGTTGTACTAAAAAAGAAATAGCGAAATTCTTGCAAATTTGATATATATATTTTTGTACATTTGAAAATTAAATAAATTATATATTTCTCAATACATAATTTTTTAAAGTAGTGACATAATATATTATATATAACATTGAAGACCTCTGCAAAAAGATGAAGAATAAGCTAAGAGAGCTATATCTTTATTTGAAGAGAGTTCCAAAATCAATTTATTATATTTCTTTTTATATTATTTAATTTTTATTTGAGGATATTATACTACTTGCATTGATGAAGGTTGGATCGTTTATCTTTGTTGAAAAGATTTGTTCACTGATTTACTGTGAGAGTGCGATATTTTTCTATGATTGACTAAATAATCGATGACTCAAGCCATGAAGTACTATTAACCTTTTGAAATATTTTAAAAAAACCATTTGGTGCCTTCTTACTTTCCTTAACAAGGTTAAAAATTGTATTGCTTTTTAAACGATGCCGTCAAGACTAGCTAGCCTAGTAAGCAGTCTTTGCTTTAGCTTGTCCCCATCACATACTCTCCTTATTTTGTGCCCGTCGGCCCTAACCAATCACATCAGCTCTGGGATATCTTTTTAAGTGCAAGGCATCCTATGATTTCACTTTTTCAATTCTCTAAAACAACCATCCAATTCACCGTTTGCATCTCTATCATAACCCACTTTTGCCATGCAATTACATGATTGGCCTTATTCACCATGTTAGACAAAACTTATATAATTTTGATGTCTTTATTAAATGATTTTTTTTTCTCCACCAAAATTCCACCTCACCTCTCGTTTCAGAATTTATGATTTTTCCTTTTTATAAATATTTTTATCATCATTTTCATAAGAATATCTAACCTTGGAGAAATTGCTTGTTTAACTACATGTGGATAATTAAATTTTCAATTATTTTAATATTGATGTAATATCTAAAGTATAAAAATAGTATAATATATAAAAATTAATTTGTGATTGCAAAAAGTTTATAGAAAACAAATAATAGGTACCACTTTGGTAGATGTGATCCCTCATCAACAACCTCTATGGGCCATCAATGCAATATTTTATTTTGAATTATTATGTACTTTAATTAGTATCAAGTAACACGTAATCCATGATGGTGTGCTTGCTTTAATCGTACACATGTGTGTCAAATGTACAAACAATATCCTTATTGCCATTTTGAGATGCTTAGGATGCATACGCCTTATGCGTTGATTGCTCTTGCTTTGCTGTGTTCGGAATGGAAAATTATCTCTCCCAATTCGATCAACCCTTCTATTATTTTTGGAAAAGTTACAATATGATCCCTGTAATTTATAAAAATAACTAGTTCATCTTTTTTTTTAAATATATTAATTTATTTCTATATTTTGTTTTTATATACTATTAGGTCTTTTATCTATTTTTTTGCATTTTTCTATTAAGTAAACAAAAAAAATATAGAGATCAAATGAGAGATACTAAAATATTATACCAAAAAAATTATAGTACTGTTTCTATGGTTTGAAAATTACAACTAGTCCATCTCTGTGTTTTTAAAAATAAAAGAGGTATTTTTATTATTTCATAATGTATTTAATGAAAAAGATACAAAAATTGAATGCAAGGACCTTATAGTTTAATGAGAATACACTATAAGGATATTTTAGTCTATTTCTAAAAAACAAGGACCAACCAATTTATTTCACAAACTACATGGATACTACTGTAATTTTTTCCATTATTATATGGTATAGACATTAATTATATGCTATATGTTCTGAAGAAAAGGAAAGAAAGAAGGGACAAAATAATGTTGCGTTTTGCTGAAATATAATTACTCAAGCGCTATAATCTTTTTGCAAAGTGTTTTGTCTTCTTGTTGATGCAAAACGCAGTCGTGTTAGTTATGTTAAAGATCATGCAGGAATATATATATATATTTTTAATTGTTAATTCCAATTCTTTTTGTTACCTAACAATTTGAATTTAATATAACAACAACGCAAAACATGCTCTTTCAATCGAGAGTTGACTTATCCATGACTTTGTCTGTTAAAACTCATTTATCACGTTAGATAAATATTTTAATAAAAATATTTTTTTTAGTAATTATATCCATAGTTTTTTTTTTTAATTCAGCTAGTTAAACAATTAATGTCTTTTTTTTATTATTTTATGCTAAATAATTATTTTTACTGAATATTTTTAATTTAAATAATTAACCGCTAAAAATTAATAATTAACAATTAATAAAATAATTAACTACTACTAAAATAAATAATATTGTCGAACAAACTCTTAGCAGTCTCATGTTATTAATCTTACCATCCGAGTAAAGCATCATTTGTACTAACCCAGTCTATGTCTTAGCATAGAAAATTGAGAATTGAATATTTCAAATCGGAATATTCCTTTCTACTGTAAGAATTTCTAATTTATACAAAGATGCTCAATGATTGTATTAGATTGGTATCTTTTGGCATTTGGCAGCCATCTAACAACCACAATTATATTCATTTAGAGCATGTGATAGTAAGTGCAGGCCGAGTTCGAGACGCCACCTGGGTCTTAGGCCCAGTTATTGAATACCAGAAAAAGACTTGAGCTTAATGATGCACATACATCTCTCTTTTTTTTCACTTTCTTTGAAAAAAGAAAACTTAATTTTAAAAAAAAAAACAACACAAAAACTTTTTTTCATTAATTTTTTTATAAATATTTCAATATAATATTTTTTTGTCAAATATAGAAAATGATTATTATGAAATAATTATAAAAAATTACGTTTTTATACATTTATGTGGAGAGGGGAGAAAAAGAGAGCACAAAAGAGAAATTATTTATTTAAATTAAAACCAATTATGAAAATTTAGGATATCATTGATTTTTTACAAAATTTGAGTACAATTTAAAAATAAAAAAAAATTTCAATTTTAAAAAACAATTAAGTCAAAAAAAAAAATCCCCAGTGATGGTATTTTAATTGGAAATAACCTTCTTTTATTTGATGGTGATTAATGAAACTTTAATTGATGTTGATTAGCACCAGTTGAAAAGACAAAATCAGCGCCATAATTTTGAAGTTATCCCTTTGCATTTGCTCCATTATTAGATATGTTGCCTTATACATTTCATATTTCCTTTTGGCCACCTACAAAAAGAATTCTTCAATCTGTAAGTCCTCCACGATTAAGACAATTTTGACCAACGTTCTATCTTACGTAATATGGCTTAAAGGAACAACGCTGCAAATAAGCCAAACTTAGCTTTATCTTTCCCATACTTAGACTCTTTAAAACTGAATAAAGGAAATCCAAATCAAGAGTCATCCAACGTTCTACATGGTGAGTACGAGGAACAGACTTTGAACTAGTAAAAATCGTCTGAATAAAGGAAATCCAAATCAAGAGTCATCCAACGTTCTACATGGTGAGTACGAGGAACAGACTTTGAACTAGTAAAAATCGTCTGAATAAAGGAAATCCAAATCAAGAGTCATCCAACGTTCTACATGGTGAGTACGAGGAACAGACTTTGAACTAGTAAAAATCGTCTGAATAAAGGAAATCCAAATCAAGAGTCATCCAACGTTCTACATGGTGAGTACGAGGAACAGACTTTGAACTAGTAAAAATCGTCTGAATAAAGGAAATCCAAATCAAGAGTCATCCAACGTTCTACATGGTGAGTACGAGGAACAGACTTTGAACTAGTAAAAATCGTCTGAATAAAGGAAATCCAAATCAAGAGTCATCCAACGTTCTACATGGTGAGTACGAGGAACAGACTTTGAACTAGTAAAAATCGTCTGAATAAAGGAAATCCAAATCAAGAGTCATCCAACGTTCTACATGGTGAGTACGAGGAACAGACTTTGAACTAGTAAAAATCGTCTGAATAAAGGAAATCCAAATCAAGAGTCATCCAACGTTCTACATGGTGAGTACGAGGAACAGACTTTGAACTAGTAAAAATCGTCTGAATAAAGGAAATCCAAATCAAGAGTCATCCAACGTTCTACATGGTGAGTACGAGGAACAGACTTTGAACTAGTAAAAATCGTCTGAATAAAGGAAATCCAAATCAAGAGTCATCCAACGTTCTACATGGTGAGTACGAGGAACAGACTTTGAACTAGTAAAAATCGTCCGTTTGAACTCAAACATGTCTTACGGTTTTACTCAGTTATTGGAATATATTTAAACTTTGCCATTTTAAACATATTTTATATCAATACACTAATTTAGTAATTTGTGCTCAAATTAAATTTATCAAACTTTAATATGGATAAATAAATTTACTAAATTGTTTTGTGATAATCAAGTGGAATTCAATCAAATTCAAACTCGAGTGTAAAAATTAAAACAAACTGAAATTTAATATTTGAATCCAAATTCCTAATCGAGGGGAATTTGTGTGATTAGGAATTTGAGTTCAACATTAATCTATTTGACTCCACTCATCTAAGCCCTTACTTTGAAAACCAAAACCTCATCCTCTCTCTAACTAGAAGGAAATAACGTTACAAATTTGCCAAAAAGATAATAATAAATAACAAGACTGGAGCCAGCTACATTTTCTGTACAAACTCCAATTTGCCAAAAAGAACTACAAAACTGAAGTCAGCTCCATTTTCTGTAGAAAATTCTGTTTGGTACATCAAAATGTATTTCTATAAAAACCTTGAAGAACCCAAAAGAACAGAGAGAATCTAGATAGATGAACACTAAGCGTTTCAATAGCTAACAGTCATAGCAAATTACTAGTTTGTCATAATTTTTTTTAACATGCCATCATAATTCAGGAACTTCCCTTGTCTGTTTACTCCAAGGTTTTAGGTGGTTTTCCACCAGTCTGATCATTCTCCACCCCTCCATCAAAAGCATTGGTTGTCAGTTTTTCTTCCTCAATGCAACTTAACAGTTTATCATAAGCATCTGCTGAGTAACAACGAGTCTCCTTAATCATCTTCAAAAGCTCTTTTGCAGCTTCCACGTCTCCCTGACCTTTCAAATACACAAGACATGCCTGTACATTATAAAAGCGTGGCTCTTTCCCTGGTTTACTTACTGAAACTGCTTTCTTTATTGCTTCTACTGCCTTTGCCATCTGACCAACTCTATAATATCCAGCTGCCACACAATCCCATGCGGTCACATTAGGTTCCATCCCATTTTCTATAATCTTGTTTATGACTGCCTCGGCCTTTTCCCAAAGACCTTTTTTGCAATAAGCTTTGATCATAAAATGTGGAATGCGAATGTCAAATGATATCTTCCCAACATCCCACTCCTCCCAAATCCTCTCTGCACCTGCCATATCATCCAACTTCACCAATGAACCTATCATCCGTATATAGCCTTCATTAAAGAACCCCTCGTTCTTATATAAATCCCAAATACGATAAACTTCAGTTTTACTACGTGCAGCAGCATATAAAGTAAGGAGAGTGTTATAAGCAAACCTTTTTGAGTTAATATTAATCAGCTGCTGCTCTGATTTCCTCAACATCGTTAAAGCCTTTTCAATTAGGCCAGCTTTCAAATAACCATTCGCTGCAACAGCATAAGATATGAAGTCCATGCTAATGTGAGCCTCCGCTTCAATCTTCATTAGAAGTTTTTCCATTTTTTCAATGTCAGAAGAGGCTACATAAGCATTTAACAGGATTGTGACCGTAAACAAGTCACTAGTAATGCCTTTTTCTTGCATCTCTTGTAGCAGGCCATCTAGTTTCTCATATTTGCCCATCCGAGAATAAAGATTTAGTATTAAATTGTACGATGGCGAACTTTTTATGAACCCCAACTCATTCATCTTTTCGATGAGAGCCTCTGCTTTTTCCAAATGTTTAGGATGTACATAGCAATTTAAAAGAGCACAATAAACCACGTAGCTTATTGAATTTTCAGGAATGCCGCTAAAATATTTCTCTGCTTCTTCTATGCCATAAACTTTTGAAATTAAATCCAACTGAACTGCAGCATCTCCAGGTGACAAGTCAAAGCACAGTCCGTCATTCATAAATTGTGATATCTAACATAAAAAGTAGAACAAAGTTCAGCAGTTTTACAAAGTGGAACAAAGTTCATTCATAATTAAACTCTGCGGCGAGTTAATTCAGTGTAACAGCTTGTATAACAGTCATCTTTTTACACTGCCAACTTGTGTAACAATCAATGCCACATGCTTATATGTGCGAAACTGAACTTTAACCAAAATGCAAGAATAAATTCATTAATCTAACAGTAGGAAAAAAAGAGGACCTGAAAAATAGTTGCAATATCACAAAATCAATTTCTAAATTTCTAATACAACTCGACTAAACCTCTCGCTAATCCTAACTAGTTGGATGAGCTGCACAAATCCTTTGTCTCTATTTTCTTTTTGTCCAGAACAAAACTTTCGAGGAACTCATTTTTCACCATTTCATTTTCAATCCACATCATTATTCGTCTAGACACTAGTGTCCATTTTCCACACAAAAGATACTAACTTTGTTACGCAAATTTAAACAATTCCAGAGACGAAAATCCAACATGTTAGTACTGGAAATGCATGTAATAAATACAACCACGAGAGGGTAACAAAATTTCACCATCAAAAAGCGCAAGTGTGCATATACATTAATACATAAGCGAAGATAGATAAATGAGAGACCTGAAGAGCGTGCCCATACCGGCGATTCTTACAAAGGTTCTTGATGATTTTCTGCAGCTCAGATCGCTTAATGTCGTTGCATTCGTCGAGCCATTTCTCGAGAACAGGCACCACGGAGACCGCTGGACCTCCCGCCCCCAAGATCCTACGATACAGAGAGCTTGGCGCCGAAGAGGAGGAAGAGGAGGAGGAATAAGTACAGGAAAACTGATTCCTTAAAACTCGATGGGCACGGCGACAGAGGTTTGGATTCAATTGCAAAAGGAGCTTCATTGTGCTACCATTACCAAAAGAGGAAATTAGAAAATGAAAAAAATTTTCAGCAGCAGAGGTTTTTGAGAATTATCGTTGAAGAAGAGTCCCGTTTAGGGATTTTTATATTACGGGTCAATTTATCAAAGAGCCCATTTCCTCTGTTAAGGCCCAATTAAATTTTCAGTGACTTTACCTTTTTTTTTTTTTTTTGTTATTTTTTTGGTGAAAAAGTCCTCTTTGCTGGTGATAAAGTTAAATATTGGAACCTTGCTTGTTACCAAAAAGAATATCGGAAGCTTGCTTGTTACCACAAAGAATATCATTCAAAAAATTAAAAGATAATTTTATTCAATTTATCTATTTTTATATGTTTATACTGACAACTGCAATTTTTAATTAATTTATAAAAAAATTACTATCCATTATATAATTATTATTATTATTTTTTCCTTATATGTATAATAGGATGAGTATCTATGTCATTCAACTTCTAAGTAAGGTCTCACTTATGTTTTGGGGTTTGTATATTTAGTAACTTTCAGCTTTCAGTTATTTAATTAGCATTTCATCAAACGTAGGAATAACGTTTCATAATCGGCTCCTTTAAACTCCACATACTAGTATAAATGCTACACACCAAATATTATTAATAATGAAATAGTATTTTAATTTAGTCAAAATATTCAACGCTGAATGAAAAGTCGTTGCTGAACACAACTTTAATATGATATAACACATGACAGATGCTATTGTATCATATTTCCTACCATTTTCTTACTAAAACCTCTAATTCTATTTTACCTCAAATTGCTACACTAATCAGAATTTCTCCTGCCATTCACACCATGGATTTTCTAAAGCTTGATGTGCACGGTGTTTGGAACAAAATAATGAACTACAGCATAGAGGTTGTCATCTTTTTTTTTTTTTTTTTAAATGTAATTCATTATATCAAGAATTACAAATAAGCATATAGACTAAACATAGAACTTTACTGATTAGAGTTCGTTGATCTTTTAACGAAACAAACAAATCCATATCCTTTTGAATAATGAAATTAAAATTGAAAAATATAATATTAGATCTTTCTGCTTGAAGTTGATATTGACAAAAGATATAAATTTTTATAGCAATAGCTAATTTGCTAATTGATTTAGATATCAAAATAATAATTCATCTGGATCTTTTATAACTGGATTGTTTTTCCAATATTTTACAACATATGCCAAATAAATATGAGTTTTCGCTACTATGCGTCAATAGCATCAATGGAGGAACAAATCGCACTATCAGACTCCATCGATCAAAGATCCACACTTGCAAATCAAGATCTAAAGTCTTTAACCAAATAAAATAGAATATCATAATTTTATTTAATAATAAACCCTCACAAAGAAGGGATAAAAAAAAAAACTCGAAATTTGGAGACAACCAACCATAAAAAAACAAAAAGACAGATCAGTTACAAGAAAAATAAATCTGAGTTTATTAAAGCAAAAAAGGTGAAGCGAAAGAAATAGTAAAAAATAGGAGGTAGGGGTTACCGCCGATAAACAGCGGCAGTCTCAAACTAAAATTAGAGTTAAAAAACTAGAGAGAGAATAGAGATATTTTAATTTTATTTTCTTGCTTGCATAAAATAAAATTAAAGGCTGTCCTATTTTATGTTTGTCCTTTAGTGCTAATGAATGAATAGAGTAGTAAATTTTTAGAAAACCCTTCAAGCTGAAAATGACTTCTTTCAAATCTAAGTAATTAAAATTTTGCTTCCTTTGCAAATTCAAAACTCAATACAAAAGTCACTTCCCCTTTGAATTAAAAGGAAACTGATGGAGGCTAGATATAAAAACCTCCCACGAGGAAAAAGTAAAAATTATTAAAAGAAATTCACTGCTATAGAGAAGATGGTTCATTTCAAAACAAAAATAATTGCACATACCTCAGTACATTTTAAGCTGAGAGTAGCTCATGAAAGTTATCATGTATCCAGCATTTTGGAACAATTTACTTGTATTATATACTTTAAGGCTTAAACTACTAACGTACCTCGAACTATGCATGTGACATCCTACCGAGTCGAGTCTTAGCACTGAGTCGAGTCATTTCATAGAGTCAAGTTGAGTCGGGCCAAACCAAACCCGGTTGGGGTAGAATGGGGTGGTCACTTCCCGCTTTGAATTAAAAGGAAAATGATGGAGGCTAGATATAAAAACTTCCCACGAAGGAGATAAAGTAAACAATTATTCGAAAGAAATTCACTGCTATATGAGAAAGATGGTTCTTTTCAATAACAAAAATAATTGCACATACGACTCCACACCACTTTTAAGCTTGAGTAGATTAGCTCGATGAAAGTTACTCATGCTTAGTCCAGCATCTTTGGTGACTACAAATTTTATCTTGTATTTACTATACTTTTAAGCTTAAACTTACTAACGTACCTTCGAACTATGCATGTGGACATCCTACCGAGTCGATCTTTACGCCACTTGAGTCTGTAGTCACTTTCATTAAGAGTCAAGTTGAGGTCGGGCCAACCAACCCGGTTGGGGGTTAGTATACTGTGCGGTTATAAGTGGACTTACTTATGAGAGAAAAAAGATCCAAGCATATGAGTTGAGGAATTTTCATTTGCATTAAAAGATCAAGCTTGGGTATTAAGTTATAAGCCTATTTGCCACTTGAGGTATCACTTTAGAAGCTTTCACACAAAAATCATTTGTATATTTTGATGGACACCCTACCCGTTAATAACCATTTTTCACTTTCCCATTTTCATCTTTACTTCATCTCTTCTCATCTCCTTCCTTTCTCCATCCATTTTCATGGTATAGTTAAGCCTTAACTTCAACTTCTTCTTCTTTATCCAAAGTAAGAGTAAACATTCTTGTAAGTTGCATCTAATTGGAATCAATTTTGGCTTGCCCTTATTTTCTTAGAATATTTTCTCATAAAAACAATTATTATGTTATAGGTGAAGTGACTTCAAAGATCTGATAGAAAAAGGAAGCTTAAAGAATAGAGCTCAGCTTTTTGAAAGAAAGGTTTGCATATCTCTCATTAACCATCATTATGCATGAGAATTTGTAGCCATGATCCCACCTCCCAAGCCAGTGTGGTGTGTGGCTAATGACGGAACAATATTGCTCGATGTTGAGTGGGAGACTCGGTTAATGTGAGGAAAACAGGGAGGAATTGGAATAAATTAAAGATAAATAGTGAGTTTATGGCATGAAACAGTGTTTTGCTGGAATTTTACTAGTAACTTCATTCTTTGATTTTTGACCCATTTAATGATTGAATTAGAAGTGTTAACAGAAGAGTTATTTGTTCTCTCTATCGTGTTAGATTTACATCAGGGGTTTCTTGAATACATACCAAATCGTGCGAGTGGCTATACTGAGAGATCATGACCAAAAGAGTACAAGAACTGTGCAGCGCTGGAAAAACGCGCACGGCCTTTCTCTCACTCTGTTGTAATCTGCGCATGGCGCCGCGAATTGACATGACGAGCTCGCGATCTGTTGCCTGAAACTCGACTGACTTCTCATTTTGCACTTTCAGACGCACTCGTACGACTTCATTTGCGCGCTCACCTCGCCGAATTTCACCTGTTTGAAACTCATCTGGACTTCTTCATTGGCTGCGTTACCGCTCGCGACCTTTGCATCTGCGCGCTCTTTGCTTAGCGACTTAGTGCCGGATAACCTCCACTTGACACTTCCTCAATTTTATGCATCTCGCGCGCTCGCGAACTTTTGCACAGGCGCGCTCGACGACTTTGCCAAGGGCGCGGCTCGACGACTGGTTTTTCATGCACTTTGGAGACCTTCTTTTTTCTAATGCCAATTGCCGATTCCTTTTTGCTCCCCAAATTTAGTTATGCTCCAATCATTTTACAATAAAAATACAAATATTTAGAAACATGTATCAAGAAAATAAACATTGCAAAGCATACAAAATGCATGTGAAAAATCAAAAATAAAACGTTATGATTTATGAAAGTCATGACAACTACTGGGATATTCGAATGTTTTGCATGTCATATATATATTGACAATTTACCAACATTAGCCATCCATTATGAGGTTAGGTAGAAAGACCACTTAGATAAAGGTTACATATGTCGCAGTAATCAATATTAGGATAGCAAGGGATACTGCACCCAAATACATATTTGAATTTTAAAAACTACCGGCTTACTATTTAAAACCAGGGCCGTTTGGAAGTGGGGGGAATTATTGATTTTAAATAAAAAAAAAAATCATTCCACTTTTTTTCATAAACAAAAAAT